GAGACAAACTTGTTATTTGCTCGGTTTCGTTGGTTTTTTAGATCAAAGGAAGACCAGGAGCCCGGTTCGCCCCAGTTCTTCAGTGTTCTTCAGGAAGACGAAGAACACCAAGAACAGTGGGAGGTTTGGGACGTTTTCTATGGTCTATGCCCTAAAAGCTACGTTTTTGTGCCCTAATGTGTGTAATATAAAAGAAAATGGCAACAGAATAAAGGTAGAATGACTTACCAGAGAAGGGCAGGGCCTAATCCCACAATCACGAAGAATGGCAGTCGAGTTTGAGGAAAAGGCTAGAGCTTCAGAATCGTCAGAAATCGAAGTGGCAGTAGGAGTTGGAGTTTGGGGGAGGTCTTGTATGTATAAGGAGGAAAGAGACCGCCCAAATTCAAATTCTGGCAAAAACGGCGGGTTGGCTGCCCGATGACCAATGGCAGGCCGCCACGTGTCCCCATTTATGGCTACGTCAGGACTGAAGCGACGGGTTGAAAAGACGAAGAGCCAACCGAGCTATTTTCGACGAAGAGGAGGTCAGCCGGGGAATATAACCGGTCAAGTCTGCAGACTACGTCGACTAGCCCGGTCGAGGCTTGGCGTCCTAAAGACCGGAGAAATGTTATCTCGGTCGAAGTGAGTAATCCCAGTCACGCTTCCGCGGACGGAATTAAGGGGCAATTGAGAGGGTGATTTGCGATCTGGAGTTGGGCCGAGGTAACGGCCGAGCAAGTTGAGGGGCCAATGATGCGTGGGCCCGAGATGATCGACTTTCTGCCCAGACTTGGGTCGGGCAGAGTTCGGGCTGAGTGTGTCACCCCGGACCGGACAGAAACTGCTCGGTAAGGCAGTGCTCGGTCCGAAGATGGCCAAAGCTCGATTGGCCGAGTGACCGGCGCCCGGGAAGGCGTGGACAACCGAGGAAGTTGAGTGACCGATGCCCGGAAAGGCATGGTCAGCCGAGGAGACTGTTTGACCGACAGGAAGGTCGATCAAAGTATCCAGGGTAGGCTCAGCCGGGATGCCACCTAGCCCGGTCCTCCGTGTGTTTATCCGGTTAGCGCTTGAAGTATGAAGCATGGCATGACCGAGGTAGAGCAGCTCGGCTGCCGAGCTCCAGCTGTGATGACAGGCAGTTGGGGTTAGGTGATGAATGACATGGTTTATGCTGACAGATGGGATAGTAGAGCCACGTGTCAGGAGATGACTGGGAGTGGATATGGGGCTCAGAAGGTATATAAGCATGTCTGCGCCCCCCATACGCAAAAAAAAAAAAAAAACGAATATCTCTGTAAGGAATTCTTACATACAAACCCTCTCTCCCTTCTCTCTACTCCTCTTAAGGTGTGTGCTAACTTGACCGTCGGAGGGTTTTTCCGGCCACACACCGCCGGGTAGCTCACCATTACTTGCTCGCAGGTGATCGGACATCGACGGAGCTCGGAAGAAAGGAATACGGGCTTGCCGGAATATTTGCTCCCCGTACAATTAATAAGTATAATAAATTATTAATCTTAATTCATTATCACTGTCATCCCTATAACCTAAGTTAATATACCCTTGTTATATATAATTTTCATTTTAACTCACTATTCTTGAAATCTTAGTATTTATTATTAGTTTTTGTTTGTATTTTTGTTAATTATAATTTTGTAAAATATTTATTAAATAAAAAATTAGTGATAAATCTAATTTAAAGGGTGTCCAAGACATTAAATCCAGTGAATATTTTTTGTTGGCGAAATATTTATGCTTTGTGAAATAGTTTGGTAAGAAGTTCCATGGGACATTTTGTTTTCAATTTTAACCCTCGACTTTTTTTTATCTGTTTGCCTTTTCATTGACTATCTGTTCAAAATTTTTCCCTATATGTTCAAATTTTTTACCCTATATGTTTAATTGTTTTAACATTTTCAATTCAAATTTCCCTTATTTGTTTAAATATTTGTCCAAATAAAATTCTACCTATCCAATTTTTTTATCTATATATCTAATTTTTTTGTCTATCTGTTCAATTTCCTATCCTATTTAAACAAATCTGTTATCTTATCTGTTGAAAATCAATTATATGAGATTTGTTTAAAACAACAAACAAAAAAATTCTATCTATCCGAATTTATCTGTTCAAATTCATCATCGACAACAACAAACAAACAAACTTTATCGGTACAAAAAAAATTTATATCTGTTCAACAACAAGAATAAAAAAAAGAATCCCTTGAAACCCTATTTGTTCATCATCATCATCATCATTAACAACAACATCAAAAAAATTATAAAAAAAAAACCAATTTTGTTATTGTGAAACTCAGATCTTGAATGATCTAAGTACACACACACACACATAGAAATGTATGTGTGTATGTATATTGATAAAAATGTATATATGTATGTATATTCATGAGCTATATATATATATATATAGAGAGAGAGAGAGATGGTGTATATTAGACCGGCCCAGCTCTCCGCCACTGGTAACGAGATCCACAAGTCGATGCAAGTCAACAAGGTCGTCGGCTGTTGCGGCGAACTTTGACCAGATCTCTACAATACTATCCAACATAATGATCATCATCCTACCTATTTCTACTTACACTGTTCACCACATGATTGTGTGCATCTCATTAGGCCTAGTTTGGAAAGACTAAATAAGTGTACTTTTTGACTTTTTTTGTATTATGTGTAGAAAAAGTAGAGAGGAGATGTTGATTGATGTGACCCAAAAAAGATAAAAAGATGAAATAAGTGCACTTTTTTCTTTGTAGCCAAACTTGGCCTTACTCCTACTCTCGCTGGCCAGACCACAACCGGGGGCCAACAATGAAGCCAGACAGAAGAGAGAGAAGAAAGAAAGGAGAGGAGAGAAAGAGATCTGATAAGAGAAAAAGAGAGAGATCGGTGGATGTGGCAGCGGCGCAGAGTAGGGATTCCAACGAGGAGGCCACGATGAAGTGGAGGACGACAGTGTGACTTCAGAACCCTAGGTAGCGTTTGGTTTAGAATCATGATTTGAGAATGAAGTTGTATTTTAAGTTTATGAGTTGTTGAAAAATTATTTGAGAAGAGAAATTTGTTTGATTATGAGTTTTAAAAATAGTTTTGAATTGAATTTTGAATTGAGTTTTAAATTTTTGAAATGAGTTTTGAAAAAGAAAAGTTGTCTAGTTATAAATTTTGAAAAGAATTTTTAAAATTTAATTCAAAAACTTATAACTCATAACCAAACACACAACTCAAAATTCTATTGAAAATTTTATTCAAAACTTATACCAAATTCTTTTTAAAATTCAATTCAAAAAAATAATTATTGAAAAAAATAAATTTTTAAAAATTCTGAAAATATTTTTTTATTTAAAATATTAAAAAATATATATTATTTTTTGTTAAAAAAAATGTAACTAGTGCTTTAAAATTACTTTTGATTGTATATTTGACCGAATTTTTTAAATTATTTTGTTTCAAAATATTTTTTTTTAATTTTTTAAAAATTACCTTGACAAATTAATTTTTATTTTACCTTTTTTTGTTAATTTTAAATAAATGGCCAAATAATTTGTCATTTTGGTCTAAAAAAAATAATTTTTATATTTTAAGCATATCAAAAACAAATGTAATTTTTTTTTTTCAAATAACAGGTAGCAATTGAAAAAAAAAAAAAAAAACTGTTTTGGTCAACTGGCTGGATGTCCGAGAGGATGTCCGGCCGGACAACCGGGTAGATCCAATTTCAAAATTCAAAAACTCACTCTACCAAACATGTTCTGAAAAGAATTTTCAAATATGGGTATTGAATTAATTTTTGAAAACTATTTCCAAACACAGCACTAAAATAGGATGGTGTAATTATAATTTCACCCCTAAACCAAACGCAGCCCTAGATTTGCTCCGACGTTAAGGTGAATTTATGTCAATGTCAGTGTGATGTTGGTGTAGGGTATATAATATATATATAAGGGTATTTTGATTATTTTGTTTAAATTTGTCATTTTGAACAAAATATTTTATTACTTGGATTTGTAGCCAAATAAAATTGAGATTTGGACTTATGAACTGAGTGCCTTTTATTAAATGGATGGATATGATATGTTTAAAATGATTGATAAATAATTAATTTAATATTTTTACATAAATGAGTGATTATATTGAAAAATGACTTAAATTTAAAAGATATTAAACTGATTAAATTGTACTAAACTGAATCGCTTCAATTGGTATAATTCAATTACTCCAATTTGATAAAAAAAAACATTTTGTATCAATATTTAAAATAATAAAATTGACATTACTAATTTGGTAAAAAAATTTTTATCTAAGTACCACCGTACTACCAAATCGATTACATTCTTTCTTGCTTATAGATATTTAAATAAATTCAATTAATGGGTCTGGACTAAGGGTGTGCTACATAAATGAGTGATTATATTGAAAAATGACTTAAATTTAAAAGATATTAAACTGATTAAATTGTACTAAACTGAATCGCTTCAATTGGTATAATTCAATTACTCCAATTTGATAAAAAAAAAACATTTTGTATCAATATTTAAAATAATAAAATTGACATTACTAATTTGGTAAAAAAATTTTTATCTAAGGCCTCGTTTGGCAAGTGACTATTTTAGTCAAAAAGTCACTAAAAAAATCAAAAAGCCAACAACTCATACCAAAAAGTCAAAGATTCCATTTTCTCTCTACTTTTTGCACATGTTTTCGTAAAATGCTAAAAAGTTATCCCAAACATATTAATTTTTTTTATATCATATTTTAGCTAAAAAATTACTAAAAAAAGCTTATTCCCAAACGAGGCCTAAGTACCACCGTACTACCAAATCGATTACATTCTTTCTTGCTTATAGATATTTAAATAAATTCAATTAATGGGTCTGGACAGTAGAAATCCCAAAAAGTTAAAACAAAAGTCAGGCTGGAACTCGGAGTCGGGCAGATCCATGTGCATTTCGGACTCTCTCTGAAGCCGCACCCGCACGAGTAGCCGAACAAAGTCAAAGACCGACAATTAGAAAACCGTATAATTATCCAATCCAACCCAATCGGGATTCATCCATCGACCGCTCCAACGCCAACTCCTCTTTTTTCTTCCCGTAACGTAACCCTTGCTCTTCTCCATCGAAGGCCTTCCTTTCAGTCAAGAAATTGGTGATCTCTCATCAGACCTAATGGAGATCGCACCAAGTGGTGGTTCGACGGATTTTCCGAGAAAGTTTGAAGAGGAGGAAGAGGAAGACGTGTGTCGGATCTGTCGGAATCCGGGGGACGCAGAGAACCCTCTTCAGTACCCCTGCGCTTGCAGTGGAAGCATCAAGTTTGTTCACCAAGACTGTCTCCTTCAGTGGCTCAATCACAGCAACGCTCGCCAATGTGAGGTCTCTTTCAATTCTTCTTTTCATCTATCAATTACTGCTTTGCCTTCATTCTTTATTTGCTTCTAAGGATCAAATACATGTTGATTGGGTTTTTTGTTTGGTAGTTGAATAGGGTTTTAGGTTTTTTAATATGTTCTTGTGCTTATCAACTCAACTCCCCCAAATAAATATTGAATTTGAGGTATTTAATTTTATATTTGTTAGGTAAATATAGCTTTTATTAAAGAATTTTCACATTGCAATCTTAGTATATGTTTACATGTAAAGGTTTTAGGTCTTGAGTTTTTAGTAAGACCGAGAAGCAGGACAATAAGATGCTATAAATGATTAGAAGAAAGAATTAAACGATCGAATTGAAAGAAAACGATCTCTTTTTATTTTGTTTTTGTTTTCTCTCTTGTGAAATATTTAGTTCTCTTCCTTCCCTCTTCTTCTTCTTCTTCTTTTCTTTCTTTTTTTGGGTTCTATGGGTTTCTTTTCTTTATTTTTTATTTTTACAGATATTAAGTAATGACAAATTAGATCTGGGTTTGGCTAAACAGTATCCGGTTCCTGGGATTGATTATTTTTGGCCACTCCTGTATAATCCTATCTAGGAGTTCAAGGTGTCAATTCTTGCCAACGGCTTGGCAAATATGATTATTTCTCCCTCATCATGGGGGCTGTATATTGTTGTTTATTTGTTGGGCTTGGTTTTTTTTTCTTCCCAAGTTTGTGCTATTTCTTGTGGTGGTTGTTGGGCTTGGTGGCTGTTGGGTTTCTTGCTATGTATTACTGAACTCTAATTGTCCCATGTAATTCTTCTTATATTTGTAATTAATCTTCTGACATAAAAAGAAAAAAAAGAAAAAGGGAGTCTAGTATGATAAGTTTATTTTGCACTCCTTTATAGTGAAGGCTGCTTGGCAAATATGTATATTCTGACAATAAAGTTATAGCGGATATATTCTGCACCTAGTAAATACGTGTAGAAGTAAAATAAAAATGGAGGTCCATGGATTTTAACTTGTGCCAACAATGTAGGGACTCTTTATTTTGGAATCCAATTTGTTTAGTAATTCTATATTCATGTGACCATATGACGAGGCATTTTCAGAACTAGAACAATCTTTTGTTAGAGTGTCTTGCACTAGACTATAAATACAATGGTCTTCTTAAGTTTAGACTGGTATAAGCATACGCTTGTGAGCGAGTGGATAAGTAGTTTATCAAGTTTGTCCTCTTGGACTGAGATGATCATGTTATTGCAGAACCACACTTTCCTAGCTCCAATAGCAATTATTCATGGGCAACAAGAAGTTTGTCTTGTTGGAACTGAGATGATCATGTTATTGCAGAACTACACTTTCCAAGCTCAAATTGCAGTTATTGAAAATTTATAAATTTACTAAGCATTAAATTTATGGGATTTGGATGCAAAGCATACCTGATAAGTAAAACCACAAATCGCATGTCCAAAATTGTGATATGAGCACTGAAGTAACTGAATGTTGCATAGTCCCAGCCAAAAAGCCTGCAAGGTAATTTTCAAAAATGAAATTATAAAGCTTCATTTAGATGTACAAAACTTTGTTCTTTTCATATTATAAAGCAGGAAGTGAAGACCTAAAGCCAAAGTAGGCGCCACAACTGAATTTATACACTTGTTTGGTTAAAAAACATATATGCACCCATATATCTCAAATACTCTTCCCCTCCAGAGAAATCCCTTACCCTGTTTCATTGTGTCTCTACTTCTTCAATCGGAAACTCTCTTAATTCTCCCTCTCTCTCAATTTGTTTTTTTAATTTTTTTTTTAAAATTTTTTTAATTTTTTTTTTTTTTTTCCGTTTCTCTGAATAGAAGCTTTTCATTCTTCATTTCGGTTAAAGAAATAAAGAAAAGGCGGTAAAAAAAATCTCTTCGTGTATGGGCTCAAACAACCAGGGGTTTGAGAAAAAGAAGAGAGGAGGGAGAAATCATCATAACACACACATTGCTTCAGTCTTCCAGCTTGCTGTTTCTTTTTTTATGGCTGCAAGTCGTGGATGCTTTAACCACATGAACAGCGACCCCTCATTCAGACCTAAATTTTATTTCTAATTCCTTTCCATGTCCTCCAAGCCACCCCTTAATAAAACCAAGAAGAAGTTTAGTTCTCTTTTTGCATAAAGTTCTTTCTTTCTTCTTTTTTAAGTAAAAGAATTTTATTGATAAGAATAAGCTTGAAGAAAAGTTTAGATCTCTGGAAAAATAAAAATAAAAAAATTATGTAAATTTTATGTAATTTTTTTTCCAAAAAAAAAGGGAAAAAGAAAAAAAAAGTGGTCATAATTCTCTCTTACAAGTAATCTAATGTGAAACCTATGTATTAGGGATGCAAAGTTTTACATTTATGAATCTCTTTTAGTAACTTCTAAATTCGTACAACAAGCCTATATTGTGCTTTCTTCATAATACAAGGAAACCACCACTATTGATTTCTGTAGGATTCTCATAACCATATTTGATGCCTATTATGGTACATTAGGTTGATATCTAAGAAGCATGGACATAGACATGTGACACGACACGGATATGACACGGACACGCCGACACATTAATTTTCAAAAAATGCAGGACACGACATGTGGGGACACGCGTAAAATATATAATTTTATATGATTTTTGTTTTATTATTGTATCTTAAATTGTCTTGTTCAAGTTTATAGTTAGTTTCACATGTGTCTAATCGATAGACCTGTGTGTTTAAGAGATACACATGTTATTTAAGTGTCCAAAAAATGTCCGGGTCTTTAAAAAATAAGACACGTTTTGAAGAGTGTCGAACACGTGTCGGTAAAGTGTCCGAAGAGTGTCGGTGTCCAATATGGACACGACACGGATATGTTACCTTCTTAGAAGTGTCTGTGCTTTTTAGGTTGATACTGTCAGATATATATAAAAAAAGGTCGATACTAGCAGATAAAAAGAAAAAGAAGGTTGATACTGGCTGCATACTAGTTATGGAAAAATCTTCCGATCATGCCTTGTGGCATAGCAATTTTGGCGGGACTATATAAATAAAAAAATGTTGTGCTACAGAAGACAACTCATTGAGTTGGATTCTATTGTCTCTATTGGCAGTTGTTTTTCATTTATCTTATAGGTGTTTCTCTCAATTGATTCACTTGATATGTAATTCCAGGTCTGCAAACATGCATTTTCGTTCTCCCCTGTTTATGCTGAGAATGCTCCAGCAAGGCTTCCTTTTCAGGAGTTTTTAGTTGGGATGGCCATGAAAGCGTGCCATGTTTTGCAATTCTTTTTGCGCCTTAGTTTTGTACTTTCTGTTTGGCTCCTCATCATACCCTTCATTACATTTTGGATTTGGCAATTGTCATTTGTGAGGAGTTTCGGTGAAGCACAAAGACTATTCTTTACTCATAGATCTGGAACAATTTTGCTTACTGATTGTCTGCATGGCTTCCTACTTTCTGCAAGCATTGTGTTTATTTTTCTTGGAGCCACTTCGTTGAGGGATTACTTCAGGCATTTACGAGAAATTGGAGCACAGGGTGCTGACAGAGAAGACGAAGCAGACAGAAATGGTGCTAATGCTGCAAGAAGACCTCCTGGACAAGCTAACAGGAATTTTGCTGGGGAAGGAAATGGAGAAGATGCTGGTGGAGCAAATGGAATAGCTGGAGCCGGCCAAATAATTAGAAGGAATGCAGAAAATGTTGCTGCACGGTGGGAGATGCAGGCAGCTCGTCTTGAGGCTCAAGTTGAACAAATGTTTGATGGCTTGGACGACGCTGATGGTGCGGAGGATGTACCCTTTGATGAGTTAGTTGGGATGCAGGGGCCTGTTTTTCATTTGGTGGAAAATGCATTCACTGTAAGTCTATCTTTGTTTTCTCATCTATGACTTAACAATTTTCGCGCTTTCCATTTTTGTGTTGCTTCATTTAATTTAAAATTGGATCTTCATAATTATTGGACATGAGCTAGCATCTTTGTTATACCTGGGTCATATCAGTTAAATTGTTAATTCAAATGTGTTATACCATCATATTTTGGTTTATATGCTGCACTAGCAGTTCTGAAATTAAACATTGTCTGTAGTAGAGGTTTATGAATTCTGCATTGATATTCAAGTATGGGTAAGGGTTTTTGGGGTTTTGGATTTCATCAGGTACACAATCTGTGCCATGTCTATGGCAATTAGATGGTCAGGATTCAGGAACGTGGCTTGTCATCACCATGTAAATCATTTACTTTCCCCGTGATAGAAGTTTCAATATCATTAAATCTTGTATTACTTGTTATACATCGTAACAGTATATGTGGGTATGCTAACAATGGAAAATTTTTGGGGTGGCCACTGTGGCCATTATACTAATGCTTGTCCCAAGACCGTGGTTTTAAGTTATGGTGGTAGTCAGCATAACAGTGACGGTGGTGCTGACGTGGTTGCAGAGTGTATATGGATTTAATATCTTCTTTAATTTTTATAGTTTCGGCTTGATTCATCTTTAAATTTAATCGTCATTGTGGCAGCTTGATTCAAAAACTAGAATTCTGCATGGACTTTGCATGAGGAATGTATTTTGTTCTACTTTCTTGTTTAGGTTTTTCCAAATTCACAGGCTTGAGCTTCTTGTTTTTTTTTTTTTTTTTTTGATTGATGACCGAGAACTCGGGCCTAGAAGGTACTTTTGACCCACCCCAGGTGTGTAAACTTGGGTTCAAAAGTCCCCTTCTAACCTTATGAACCGGCCAAATGGGAGGGGAGCCAAACCTTAGACCTCTTGGATAAAATTCTGGGGACTAACAATTCAAGCTACCCCTTCTAAGTTTATTTTAGCGTTTACTTTGGATTTGGTTCATTGATACACCAATTTTTCTGCAGGTTCTTGCAAGCAATACAATATTCCTTGGTGTTGTAATCTTTGTGCCCTTTTCACTAGGACGGATTATACTTCATTATGCATCTTGGGCTTTGTCCTCTGCTACTAGTCCAGTGCTGTCAGCAGCGATGCCGCTTACAGAGTCAGCCCTTTCATTGGCAAATATCACATTGAAGAATGCATTAACTGCTGTTGCGAATTCAACATCTGATAACCTAGAAAACAGTTTACTTGGACAGGTTGCAGAAACATTGAAAGAAAATGCTACAGGACCACATGAAGTATTGAACAATCTTAGCACCTCATTTTCAGCTGATTTTATGGAAGGGGCATCTGTTGGAACGTCAAGGCTTTCTGATGTTACAACTCTCGCTGTTGGCTACATGTTTATATTCTCTTTAGTCTTTCTCTACCTTGGATTTGCTGCATTGATTCGGTACACTAAAGGTGAGCCTTTCAATATGGGGAGATTCTATGGTATTGCTTCAATCGCAGAGACAATACCATCACTTGTCAGGCAGTTCGTGGCAGCGATGAGGCATTTAATGACTATGATTAAGGTTTCTTTCCTTCTGGTCATTGAACTTGGTGTTTTCCCTCTGATGTGCGGATGGTGGCTGGATATTTGTACCATAAGAATGTTTGGGAAGTCAATTGCTCAAAGAGTTGAGTTCTTCTCAATCTCTCCATTAGCAAGCTTGTTGGTTCATTGGGTTGTAGGAATTGTGTATATGCTACAAATAAGTATCTTTGTCAGCCTTCTTCGAGGGGTATATGTTTTGCTTGCATTTTAATTTTATTTTTTCATATTTCATTTTCTAATTATCATACATATTCTTTTTTAAAAAGTACACCACTTTAGACCCCATTGGATGGGGGCCTGTGTGGGGGAGATTGCTTAAAGATCTAACTGTCAATTCTTACATGTTTTATTTAATCTCTGCATGCTTTGATAGGTTTTACGTAATGGGGTTCTGTACTTTCTTCGAGATCCAGCTGATCCAAACTACAACCCATTCCGTGATCTGATTGATGATCCTGTGCACAAACATGCTCGTAGGGTTCTGTTGTCTGTTGCTGTTTATGGGAGTTTAATAGTGATGCTGGTATTTTTACCGGTTAAACTTGCCATACGACTGGCACCCTCCATTTTTCCACTCGATATCTCGTAAGATTCGTCTCCATGTTTTAGGGGCATCTATTTTTTATATTGGATTTTCCATATCGTGGGTTTGAGTCACAGAAACAGCCTCTCCAGAAATGGGGATAAAGCTGCGCACCGCTACAGCGGGAAACTTGTGCACTGGGTCATGCATTTATTTTCCAGTTTTACGTATTCCCACTGACTTTGACTTAAATGTTCACACCTGTGATTGCAGTGTATCTGATCCATTTACTGAAATCCCTGCTGACATGCTTATCTTTCAAATCTGTATTCCATTTGCTCTTGAGCATTTTAAGTTGCGCGCAACAATCAAGTTTGGTCTCCACTATTGGTTTACCGTTGTTGGCTGGGCACTTAGTTTAACAGATTTCTTACTTCCTGGACCTGAGGACAGTAGTGGTCAGGAACATGGAAATGAGGAGCCAGCAAGGCATGATAGATTACATGTACAACTGGGTGAGCAAAATCAGCCCTTGCGAGGATTTGTCGTCCCTGATGATTTGAACGGAGGCAGGGATGTGTCGGCAAACACCAATCTTGCAGAAGAGCATGATGGTGATGAACAATCCAACTTAGAGTAAGTTGTATGACAAATTACAATGATTTTAGTCTATACTTGAAGTGTGCATGTGAATTACATCATTGCAGGAAAACTGCCAATAAAAATTCTTGCCCGTTATGGTTATGTTTGTTTATTATGAATCCTTTTCTGTACTTTTTTCAGTCCCTGAATTTGTTTCCATTGGTGGTTATTTTAAATCTCAAATTTACAATTTGGTGTCAAATTTGTCAGCTGTTTGCTGCTTAATCAACGTGCTTAGACAAGTTTTGTCTTGTTTTATGGTTCTCTTTGTGTGTGTTTCTTTTCTTGGGGCAAATACGTTGGGGGTTGGTTGAAATGGTAGGAGTAGCATTAATTGAAGATAAGTTTAGAGAGAACAAGCAAAGATGGTTTGATCATGTACAATGGAGACATATAGATGCAACGATAAGAAAGAGTGATATGATCACCATAAATGGAAATGTTATAGGGAGGGGAAGACCTAAATTGACATGGGATGCGGTAGTAAGAAAATTAATTTATTTAATTAAGCTGAGCATATATCCCTTTGACAGAGCAGAATGGCAAAAAGATTCATTTAGTTGACCACACTTGATTGGTACACAAGGCTTTGATTTGGTTTATGTGATGTTTTTACCAATTTATTTTATTAAAACAAACCAGAATTATCTAGAGTGCTACCAAGTTTTTTGGTTGGTAATTAATCACTGGCCATGCTTATTTATCATAGTAATTTTGAAGTTATGTCATTGTTATCTATTTATGTTTCTTTTTTGAAGGTTCGCTTTGTACACTATGATGATAATAAGTTACAGATTGTTGATGTAAAAAAATAAAATATATATTCTCTTGGCAATGATCCTAGCATTTGTCTTTCTCAGTTTGTTATAGTTTGTCTTATTTACATGCTCACTTCAAATAATTTTAGAATTCATCTTTGACTATTTTTATACCCCCACGGGGCATTGCCATGACCTCTCCATATGGGTATCTCTTGCAAATGTAGTGCTAAGTGTTAGCCTTATGAGATGGCATGCAGGCCAGCGAGGCAACTACATAAGCACCCCTCCGGGGTCGACCCATATTGGCCTAGGCTAGCATACACAGTGCCCTAACTTTAGGCTTGTGATGCCCTCAGATGGCTCGCAATGCCCCTCTGCTCGGCTAAGGATGCTCTGCTTGAGCACATTGTCTCTCCTTCGTGGTCAACATGCTCAAAGTCCTGTCGGTCTAGCTGAGCAGCCTGACCAAGTGTGTCCCTAACTGCTACGGCCTTGTAGTCAGTTGCTAGTCGCACTCTAGAATTGTGCGCTCACCCCTAAATAGAAACTAGGAAGTCAATATCCTTTTTGTACAAGTTCTCTCAAAGTATATAAAAAGACATGTAATACTTCTAATTCAATAGAGACCAATTTTTGAAGAACTACCAAAGCTTTTAGAGTGTTTTATTCTATTTTTTGGGATTTCGTGATGCAATTCTAGCCCTAGTTATGATTTCCTCTTCTCCATTTTTATGCACTTTTAGCCTCCAAACCACAAAGCCAGTTTTGTATTAGACCCGCCATACTCAACTCTCAAGCATCATAATTCCTCAACCTTAGCACTCTAGATCACAAAAGATCACGAAAACTAGCAAAGTGTGTATTCTTGGGTACTGTTTACGGCTCTCTTCAGCTGTCCCTAAATAGCCCATTCTTTTCATTCGCAGAACTTTACCCTTTTTTTACATGTTTAAATTCTAAAATTCTACATAATTTTCCAAGCTTTTGGCCACATTAACTAATAAATTTAGCCCTAAAACTAGAGACTTTTGTTGCTGCATCTTATTAATTTTGGGCTTGCTATTAGATAGGGTGCAATATGGGTGAATCTAACTTGAGCCCAACCCGTAAAATTTTAGGGCATGGGCGATGTATATTGAAACACAAGATTGGGCTGGGCTTGGGCAGAGGACTTGGGAAACTTGAGGTCGTGTTCCATATATAATTACATATTAGATTATATTATATTATATAAATATGACCTATTCTGACCATTGGATCTATGAGATTTCACCCTAACTGTTGGATTAAATCCAACACAATATATTGGCTGAATTGTGGTGGTTTGATGTTTTGATTCTAATGAACTACTTATGAACAAGTTTTTTTATGAAGAGAAAGACTCAGTTAATGGAATGTTTATAAGCAATATTTTCTTTTTGTGATTTTGTTGTGATATTTTTTTTAGATTGTGAATTTATGAACATGTTATAAACAAGTTAGAATAAATTTTAATCAGCCTAAATAAATTACTTTTAGACTTCTAATCCAACAAAGGTCCAAAAAAATTAACCTCAATAATTGCCCAGCCCAATCTTTTGTGGGCAACCTGAGCTAAATTTATTGAGCTTGGGTTGGGCTTGGGCTAAATATCTTGGGCCTGCAAGTCGGGTCTGTGTAGTGTTGAGCACTACTTGGACTAGGCCTGGACAAGTCTTGAGCCGGCGTAGCCCAACCCACCCGACTTACTCCCTATTTCTAGTGGAAAGTCTACACTGTACTCACCCTACATCAAATGTCATGATTTACCCTTCTGTCCAACGCCTTTTCCACATCCTTCTTGTTACAATCTAATATTTTTTGATTATGTATTTTAGCAGGTACGGGTTTGTGCTTCGTATTGTACTACTGTTGGTGATAGCTTGGATGACTCTACTTATTGTTAACTCTGCTGTCATAATTGTACCTGTTTCACTCGGACGAGCTCTTTTCAATGCCATCCCTCGTCTCCCAATAACTCATGGCATCAAGTGCAATGGTAATATGATTGAATATAATTTATTCTCAGTCACTCTATTTTCTTAATTTTAGAACGATAACATTAACTAATTGCTTCTATTTCTTTAGATTTATATGCTTTTGTCATTGGAAGCTATGTGATTTGGAGTGCCGTGGCTGGAGCCAGGTATTCCATTGAATACATTAAAAGAAGGAGAGCAAAGGTTCTGTTAAGCCAAATTTGGAAATGGGGTGGCATTGTTTTGAAGAGTTCTGCACTGTTGTCAATATGGGTAAGAAAATGCCATCCCAATCATCTTTTTTGCTAATCAGCTTTTCAATGCTTTCGACTCTTACATCACCATTGTGTTCCAGATTTTTGTCATCCCGGTGTTAATTGGACTGCTCTTTGAACTCCTGGTAATTGTGCCAATGCGGGTGCCTGTGGATGAAAGCCCACTTTTCCTATTGTATCAGGACTGGGCTTTGGGACTCATCTTTCTTAAGATCTGGACTAGATTGGTGAGCTTTGAACTTCTTACTTTCACAAAGGCATTTATATTTTGAAATGTGTGGCAGCCTGCCAGGATGAAATTGAACAATTTCTAGCCAATCACAGATGGCAATTTTGATTGAGGAAACGTCACTGAATAACTGATTTTTAACTTATTACTCCTTTATTTTTCCCATCAATTTCTTTCAACTTGCCATATTTTTTCCTTTCAATTATAGGGTTTCTAGCAATCTCCAGTGCCAAATAATTCTAATTTTAAAATTTGATACTATTATACGTGGTACATTTTTTATTTTCTTATAACACTAATATTCCAATTCTATTTACATTATCTGGAAATTTTTAACTTTTGAAATTCAATTTATTCTCCCATAATTTCTTACACTTCGATAAGTAGTTGTGGGATTTGAGTTTAATCCTGTTTTAGATCTTGATTGTTTTGCAATCACTTTATAAAGAGAATTATATTAGATGTATGATGTTCTGTTTCCAAACTGACATTCTGTGTTTGGCACTTATTTTTGTACTGATCAGGTTATGCTGGATCATATTGTGCCTCTGATCGATGATAGTTGGCGAAGAAAGTTTGAGAGAGTGAGATTACATGGTTTCTCGAGACTGCAGGGCTTTTGGGTGCTGCGCGAGATTGTATTGCCAATCATTATGAAACTGCTTACCGCGTTGTGTGTACCCTATGTTTTAGCCCGAGGAATTTTTCCGATATTTGGATACCCATTGGTAGTAAACTCAGCTGTTTATCGGTTTGCCTGGTTGGGATGCCTCGGATTCAGCCTGTTATGCTTTTGCGCCAAGAGGTTCCATGTCTGGTTCACCAACCTCCACAATTCTATACGTGATGACCGCTATTTGGTGGGTCGTAGGCTGCATAACTTTGGAGAGGATTCAGGGGAGAGGCAAAACCAGGCAGGGAATTCCTCAGAAACTCAAAATAATGATACACAAAGCTTTGATTTAATCCAGTATGACCATGACGTGGATGTAGGGTTAAGGCTGAGGCGTGCTAATCAGCAAGATGGCTGATATGAGACGGGATCGGAGCTAGTTTGTGCCCCATTTGGTGTGTTAACAGAGGATATATGCATTGTTGACAATAGGTTAACTAACAGTGTACCCTTTTAAGAGGGGCGTTGTTAGGGTTGTGAATAGTTTGTGAAATCTTGTCGCAAAGAACGTAGAAACAAGATGGAAAATTGTTTTGTTCATATGAAAGTATCTTTTACAAGTGTCTATTGTTGGAATTTCCAAAAAAGGTTACTGTTATCTTTAAGATGAGGGGCAGTAGGTAATGGCATTTGGATTGTTGTTACATTAATCTGTTGCTGCTATATACACATTAGTTCCCTCTACACCCATTCAAGGTGTGAGTTCAATTCCCAATGCATGTAAGAGAGGAAGGTGGATGCAAAAGAAATTTTAATTGGTGTATTTAAAAGCACCCCATTGCTCTGTGTGTTTTTTTTTTTTTTTTTTTTCCTTTTAAAATGCAATTTTGCACTACGGTGCGGTGCAATTTAGGTGGGCTCAACTTCAGCCTAAATTCTTTTAAGATTTGGATAAGATATTTTTAAATTTGGTATGAGTTTGGACAAAAATTTAAAAGTCCGAATTAAATTTGGACGAGTTTGGATAAAAACGTCAAATAATCCGAGCAATCTGAATTCTAAATTATAAATATATAGATATATAAAAATATTAAATATACATATAAATTATTAGTTATTATATGATGTTAAAGTAAATTAGATTATTAGGGGTTGTTTGAGATGACTTAAATAAATGTATTTTTTGTCTTTTTATGAAAAAATGTGCAGAAAAGTAGAGAGGTGATGTGATAGAAAAAAGATAAAAAGATAGATTATTTTGTAGTAGCCAAACTTGGCCTAAATCAAGTATATATTATATATACAAATAACATAAAATCTTACTTTTTTTATTTTCACTCACAAATTATAAAGACTACTATAGCGGCATCTCTCTTACATTATATAAATTATTTGTTTTGATGGCATTAATGATTTTCTATATAAAAAAAAATGTAAATAGAATCAAATTTTAATAATTTAATAATGTAGCTACAAAAAAAAAAAAAAAATTGAAATTCATTTACAATTCGGACAACTCGGGTAATTTGGGTTTAACTCGGGTCGGTCTTGGGCAGAAAATCTCGGATTACAATTCAGGCCTGGGTGGGTCTGAACAAGTCTCAATACAACTTGAATTAGGCTTAAATAACCTTCTAACCCGACCGAACCTGCCTAAGTTGCACCCCTACTCTGCATTGGGACTGAAGTATTAACCTTTGTTTACTTGTCCTGTGTAAAAGAAAAATTTATATAATGTATTAATAGAAACAAGTGGCTGTGGGATAAATGGAGTTCTTTGTAACTCATGCCATTTTGAGATAAAATTTTTAAGTACGAGTAGTTTTGAAATATTTTTTAAACCTAAATTATAAGTCAGTGGACTTTAAAATTTTAAAAATGTTAGAGATTTAAAAATTCTATCAAAAATTCTACCAAATGTCTCACATGGGTGTGAGACCCACATGGGACTCCTATTGTGTGAATCTGTTACCAAAAATCTGGTTTGGGCCAAATTGACAGACGAGATTCGACAGAAAACCCAGAATTTCACAAACAATAGCAAATCAAGCAATTGTGGTTTGAATGTCCTATGCCTTCACAGATTCAAGAACTTCTTTGGAGGTTGTAATCCGAAGAAACAAATGTGAATAAAATGAAAATCGATTGAAGAACAAGTAAACTTGCCACTTAATTACAAGAATTAAATTACAAGTTCAATGTACATGACAATCGACAGAGGGGAACTTGGCCACAGAGGCTGAATTCTACACAGACTACTCCTAAATACAGAAACTATTGCTAACTAAGTTAAATTACTCCTAATTCCATATGAGTTGTGTGTTTGATTATCCTTATTTCTTTCGAAATTACAGCCTTTATGCGGTTGGCTTTGTTGCTTCTTTGCTGCCACATGTCCCATCATGGAGCAAATTCCCTCCACTTATTGCATAACTACCCATGATCTTCACAACTGCTGGTAACTGCTCCTCTGCTGCAGCACTCATTTTCTCTGCAAATAAACCACGTATCCTGTATCATCTGCGTGCCTTATCTCATAACTTAACACCTAGGCCACATTTGGCCCCATCTTATCGTATTATCAGAGGAATCGATAAAAGCAAACTGCGTCTGCCATAGCTATTCCTTTAATTGCGTTACTTAGCTCTACATTCTAGGGTACACCTCCCACTGGAAACTTAAGATTTTCACCTCTAGCATCCCTTGGATCAACTCTCTGTATTTATTGTAGCTATTCGACAGAGATGATAAATTTTAGTGCCAACAATGCCCCTCTCATTCAAGATAAAAAGATATTTTTGTTTTGAATAAATATCAGAAAGGACAAAATAAGGCTTGGACATTTATATATTTGGGTGATGCATTTAGGCTTATAAAAACGAGCCCACAGATCGAAGCCCAAATATTTAAAGTAACATCCAGACGTTAAATTAAAATTAATATGAATTCAAACAAAAAAGGCTCAATCGTCAAGCCCAATTGTTAGTGACATGCCCAAACTTAATCAAGAGGATCCACCACAAGCTATATGAACATCAGAATTCAAATCATCACTTCACCATTTTCATGCCCTCTGCTCTACTTTGTTCTTCGCCTTCTGCTTTGAAAACCCTTCTTTTTGCTTGTACACTGCAATGGCACCCAAACGAGCTCAAACCAAAAGAAAAAAACAACCAGAGATGCCATTTGTGCAACGTTTCCCAACTGAGTTCCAATCAATACTTCACCAACATATTTTTAACAGCTGCATTATTCCCAGCAGCAACACCTCTGCCTAAGGGGAATTAGGTCCAACCTTTTTTGCCAAAATCCCAGATGAACTTATCCTCTATTATCCCATTGCAGATACTAAAGTGATATAACTAGCCTGGAACCAGTGGCATTCGAGCCCTAACCCCTTACGTTTGTGGAAAAAACCAAACCCTAATTGGAGATTATGGGTTCATCGCATGATGGTTTACGATATTGACCTTCGGAGAGCTCTTGGCATTTATGATGTCATTCGACTGTCAACATTAGCCCTAGATATGGACAAATGGGCTATTGGTGCTGCAGCTTGTTTTTGGTTTCTGTCCTGTAACTCTGTCATTTTAAAGTTTGGTATGATCTCTTCCACCATTCTTGATATTGTACATTTGACTGGCCTCCCTGTTACTCGCCAACATATAAGTGCCCTTTTAACTCCTCAATCAGTAATCCTACTTGACACTGACCTCAGTTATGGAAAGTTCCAAACAAAATATCAACAATTTTCCACCAAAAAATAAAGGATAGCTTTTTACTTGTTGTGGCTCTCCCAACATTTTCTATGTGTCCCAGGTCTCAAAATTACCAAAGAGTATTTGGCCCTGACAACTTGTATCCAAGAAGGCACACAATTGGCCTTTGCCCCTTTTCTTTTGGGCACATTATATAGGGGTCTTTTCTCTTTAGTCGATAAAGAGATAGATCATAATGGTGGAGGTCCTTTTTGGCTCTTTCAAGGCTGGCTCTATGCTTATTTCCCTGAAATTAAGCCTACCACTCAAACCCCTTACTTCTCTCCTTGCAAAAATTATGCTGAATTCTTCTTATCTTTTCGACCAGCCTCATCCAATTCATTTACCAAGATTTTCACTATTCTATTTGAGCTACCTGTCGATAGAGACCCTCAGCTTTTCATCCATTTCCATAACTTTCCGTTCACTTCCACCGGATTAACATATATCAATACTGCTCCTCAAACATTGAGTGACACTTGGAGGCAACAACAAAAAGACTTCTGGGCTCAAATTCTCACTCCCAAATACATTCTAGTAGGTAGATCCATCTCTACCAGCAGGCTTTCCAACTGTAGCTTCGAAAGCTATAGTCCCTACTAGTGGGACAGACAAATGGGACTATATCAAACTGTCCCTTGTCCTTACTTACACTCTACCATTCATGAACAAGTGGGATCCAAGATTCAATTCAAAATCTCTCAAGAAATGAAAATCTGCTGGCTAAAAATCAAAAGTTATTTGATCAATTCAGCTTTTTCTACTGCCAGATTACCTCCTTTACTACTACAAGGTTTAATGAATGGTGGTCTTTAATTAGTGCCTTGATCTTTAATGAAGATCTTCAGGCTTGTCTTTGGAATGTGCACCCAGACAACAGAAGAAGAGTAGAGATGACCATTGGTAATTCTACCGCTTTTTCCTTTCTTTATGTATACTGCTTACCTTTTGAGTTTATTTAGTCATTTATGCTCACTCATATATATACATATATATATATATATATATGTAGCACAACCTGCTAGCAAGATTACCTCTTTGGCTATAGAGATGCCTGCCCAGGCTGATCCAACTAAGGACAAAGGCAAGGCTCCAATGAACACCCTAAAGAAATCTAAAGGCAATCATTTAAGCACCACTAGCTTATTTAGTCATTTATGCTCACTCATATATATATATATATATATATATATGTAGCACAACCTGCTAGCAAGATTACCTCTTTGGCTATAGAGATGCCTGCCCAGGCTGATCCAACTAAGGACAAAGGCAAGGCTCCAATGAACACCCTAAAGAAATCTAAAGGCAATCATTTAAGCACCACTAGCTATAAGGGGTTCATACATTACAACCAAGGTATAGAGACTGAGAGGAGGACCAAGAGTAGGCAAGAAGAACTCCAAGAACTTTTACCTTCTCGGTCTCAATTGGAGGGTGGTGTTGCTCTTGAGAGGAGGTCAAAAAGAAGGCAAGAACAACCAATTCCTCCTCAAGTCACAGCCCCTACTATACCAGCATCCTCTTCCTCTAGCAGTTCTTCTTCTCTTCTAATAAAGGTACAGCTTTCATCCAAACTCTTACTGAGTCAATATGTATTATGTTTGTTCATACTGACACCTTATTCCACTCTTCTTCCTCTCTTTTAGTCATACTTTCAATTATACAAGATAAGAAAGCTTATCTCTCTAGCTGTATCTTCTTCTGCTTCTGAGAGATTGCCTGAGGCCCAGATTGTTCCACCTTCTATGCCTGAAGACCAGACAAAAATGCCTTCTCTTCAAACAAACTCAAGGCACATGAATCCCCAACTCACTCAAGAAGAACAGACTGGTATTAGGGAAAAACAGGCTGATCCAGAAAGAGTTGACCCAGAAATAGTGGGCTCAAGAGGATTAGCCCCTGAATTGGTATACCCTACGGCTGATATTCCTCAAGGGATAGCCCTAGGGGATTTGATGGCCTTTCCTCTTAGAGGAGTACGCCATGGAACCAATGAGGTCATAAATTTTCCTGGTATGGCCTCTTCCTCGGAGGAATCAGAAGCCCCTGGCCATGCCAGAAAGACTCCAATTGAC